ATTGCACCTATATAAAAGCAAGATATAGGTCTCTTTGAAGTCCAGTAAAGAATGAGATTAAAACCACTAGGGGAAAAAAGAAGATTGGTCGTGGAATGACAACAGAGATGAATGAAGTCGTATCTACTGAGCAGGTTTAGGCAGAAACAAACTGCTAAATACTTGTAGACCTGTGATAACAGACAGTGATCTGGCTTTAAGTCAACATGAAATGCATTAGACATGTATTCCAGAGTGTGAAAAAAAAAAGTATGTCTGCATTTGATTTGATTTTATCCATCAGGAATTGACTGGGTCATAAAAAGTAGGCATTACACAGCAGAATGGATGGGAAGGATTGAAAAATAAAAGGGCTTGGTGACATGAAAGTTGTGTCAGAGGTGAACAAGTTGATACATTTAGATAAAATATTACGTGGTCAAGATTTTTTTTTTTATCTATTTAATAACATGCCCTGGTGAATTGTTCACAATAAGATCATGAAAAATATTAAGCGTAAATAATTCATATTTCTAATACTTAGTCATATTGACAGTAAGTAATGTTATAAAAACATATGCTGTTTTCTATACTTTATATACATCAAAAAAATCCTGAAAAAAATCTATCACGGTTTGCACAAAAATACAGCTTAAAGGTGCTATATGTATTTTTTAGCGGCCTCTATCGGTGGTGTTTCAGATTGCAACCAATTTTTACAAGAGCGCTCGTGCTCTTGCGCGTGCTCGAACACAAGAGCGAGCACTCATGGTACCGGCCGGGCGGCCACACTGACTGAGACTTTCAACACACCGGAGAAAGCATCACACAACATGCTGGGAACTCATGTAAACTCCCACTGCAACGTTATAATAATAGGCTACTTTTATCAGCTTGACGTTGAACTAATGCTCCATGCTCGTACCATGATAACGTTACATTGACTGCATTTAGCCGACATGTGCTGTTAGCATAATAAGGCATTTCACTAACTATTCGTGTATCTTTCACAATCAGCAATGTCAACATAGGTGAATCTATAATATGATAACGAAAACGGTTAGTGAACTAGACTGAACAATTTCAGTGTAACAGTAAGATCGTAGGAAGTAACATTACTGTACTGAACGTGTCTGAAAATTATAAACAATATGATAGTAGTGGGATGAGTGATGTTAGACAGTAGATCTAGTACATAAAATAAAAGTTACATCCTAAAGCACCTACTTTTTGTTATCGTGGAACAGTCTTTTGTATTCATTTCATGTCTCATGTATGTTGTAGTTTACCTTGCCATTTCATTACAGTTTACCATTATTTATTTCAGCATATCTGAAAACTTGTAATTTATCACAATAAAAATAGCAGAGGTCTCTCCATAATTCAAACGCTCTGCCGATGTTGATCCGTGTTTTCGTCCCAAGTCGATCCGATTCACGTTTGGCCTGACGAGCTTCAGCAGATACATTTTTGTTTTGTTTTGTTTTTTATATTAATGTGGAGTTTGTGTTGGAGTCTGTGTTGTGCTGGAGGAAGGTCGTTTTTTGGTGTTATCAGACTCCATGTCGTCAGCTGCAGTGCCGTCGCATAGACTGTATATAAAAAGGAGAAAGGGCTCGGGAGCGCGCATGCACGTCACATCCGATGGATTTCGCAGAAAATCCGACCCGGAGACTTCACATAGAAATAGGAATACTGGCCTTCAGAGGTAATAGCAAAACCCGACAAGTGGATCATTGTAATGTGTGATTACAACCCCTTCACACACAGGCAATGAAAAAAAGGATTCATTTCAGAAAAGTTACATTTAGCACCTTTAAGAGACTACTTATAAAAAAATATGTTGTTGTTTTTTTAAATAAAAAAATCTTATCAACCCCAAACTTTTGAACAGTAGTCTAAGTAATTAAGATCAATGTCAATATCATGTTGGGAATCTTATAGATGTTGTACCTTCCTGATGTGGTCTATGACCAATGATTCCTCTCTGTCATCATCGTCATCCATGTCCAGCATAGGGGAGTTGAAGTGGTCCAGGAAGAAGCACTTGGCTCCTTCATTGCGTGGGTCAAACGGATCCACAATGATGGGCTCAGTCCCTTTGATCTCGCAGCGACAGAACGGGCAACCCTGACCGTCGGAATCCTGCAGAAAAGAGTCGAGGACACACTGAGTGAACTTTAAAACACTAGCGCACACACTTGTAACGTGCACTCTCAAACATACACACACACAAAGGCTCCAACACGTGCACTCTCAAACACACACACACAGAAAGGCTCCAGAAAACCGCCTCTTAATCGAAACAGACATGAGCACACGCACATGGTGTAGTACCTTCGCTGATATCAACCTCAACGGTTCAGGTCTGATTATTTGTATAGCGCTGTAAACACTGACACACTGTTGTGGAAATATGCCTTGGCCATGAGGAAACTCTTTACTGGCAGGATCTGAAGAGTCATGTTTGATTACAAACAGCTGGAACGCACATGCTACCCCCCTCAGGCCTGGTACCGAATTTCTCTTTTTCGATTTAGGATACAGCAAAGCAAGACAGACACACACGCAGGCCACTCCGCCACGTCGCACGCCTCCGTACGGGCTGGAGACGGCTTACACATGGCAAAATGAACAACAATCATCTTTCATTTCCTCCATTAAACTCTGAGAATCAAAGTGTGTCTATATTTACAAGAACAAAAGATGATCATGGCTGCCATCTGGTTGAGGGGTCGCGCGGAAAAACATCAAAGCATCGTTTGAAACCTAATCCTAATTAGAGCCCTTAACCGGAGAGAGAGAAACACACCCCAACTGACTCGGATTATTAAAAAAAGAGTGAGATTTCTAAGGGATAGTCAGTCACCTTCAAGACTTCACTGATGTGTGTTCGTAAACTTACCAGGAAAAAAAAAAAACAGCAATGAATATTAATCTCCCTGCCAGCTAGGAGACGAGACGACACTTCTCAACCGGTTCAGTGGTTTATTTAACAGTTAGGTCCCTTTTATAGGCAGGTGACAGGTTAAAGGGAAGCCATCCTTGCCGTTTTTTTAAAAACGAGAGGGTGAACAACAGCAGAGGAGATTCAAAAAGCTCTCTTGTTGTCTAAGAATGGACTTGTGATGGATCACAGCTGAGGCCTTTTGGATGTCATTTTAAATGTGTTGTGACAATGTGTGTTCAGTGACAACAATTCTGACCTGAAGGAAATATGACATCCTTCTTCACACATTCTCACACTCACAAACAAAAGTAAACACTTGCATCTAAAATTAAAGTAACACATCAACTACGAGCGTGCTCCACTAACATTTCACGAGCAGAAAGTGTCTGCATACTTTTAATCTTAATTTTGAGCAGTATGTCTACTGTTTTATAAAATAAAATCAAAATATTTTTTTCCTTTTTCTGAAATGTTTTGCTTGAAAAATGTGAGCTTGTGCAATCTTTCTGTTCAAATAAATGGCACTTTGATTTGAAATTTTATTGTTTAAGGCAGTGACATTCATACCTTTTTAAGCTCACAGATAATTTTTGGGGGCCACTGTATAGTTTCGATGAAGTGCTCTTCTGAATTTAATTAACTTGAGCGCTTCACTTCAATGTTCATGCAGTAAAGACTGGTTCACGGTCAATGATCCCAAATCTGAGCCAAACCCATCAAAAACCCAGATGGTAGCAGATCTGATGTGTAGCAGAGGGAAAACAAAAGTGCCCAACAGAACAAAAAACACAAAACACTACAATAGTACTACTTTTCCCTTAAATTTTCTAGTGATGTAGTGAAGAATTGTATGATATTATTGGGGAGAGATACAGGGAATGGGCATGTTGCTGGTCAGACTCAAACCAAGCACAGAGACTCGAATCAGGATTTATGCTCAGATCAGCTTGAGTGAATCAAGTTTCCATTATAAAAGGAAAAAAACAAACAAAGATACACACGTAGCATGCATCTGGCTGAGGCGTCCGAGTTTAGCTGGCCCTACCGCCGCCCAGAAGTATCTGTTTATCGAAAGAGAAGCTCTGGTGCTTGGACAACACCCTAGATTGGAACATTTCTGAGAATACGGCCAGTCCTTAAACTGTAAACACATAAACACTTCATCCCAAATGTGTAACATCACCCATGTAAACATCCTCAATCACAATCATACACTGACACACATTAATACACACAGCAACACACACCCAGAAGATTATCGCAACCAGAGAGGACACATTTCCTACCCTATCTGCCTTTCCTTCACCTGTCCGCTGTCATGCCGCTTGCATTTGAGATCAGGACAAATGCAAGGGCGACGGAGAGACAGATTACCTGCTGTTCATTCTCCAGTGAGTCCTGATGATGCTCAGTATTCAGGTCATAGCATGCCATTAAAGCACTCTTAACTAGATCCATTAGCTTAGCGCTGGGCGTCACTGAAGCGTTTACATGTGATGCAAAGAGTTTCTTCATACCGCATGCAAATAAGACGTGTTTATTTCATGCATGAGCACAGCTGTGTGAAAAGCTGCAGCAGTGTGGTGGTATATATTTATATATATATTCAGATAAGAGTGTGTATGGGTGTTTCTTACACTTCAGGGGTTTTATAATATAATATAATATATTATAATATAATATAATATAATATAATATAATATAATATAATATAATATAATATAATATAATATAATATAATATAATATAATTCAATTCCTCTTCTTTGTTACATAAGGTTTGTGGAAACTGTCTTGGAAACTTTTGCCCCAGACCTTTTTTTATTTATGCGTGTACATAAACAAAATATAAAAGTAAATAAAAATGATTACAAATAAAATTGTTTGAATTGTGTAAAAATAATTTATATATTTTTGTTTAATTATGAATGTCACACAGCTGTGCCGTCACTCCCAACACACCAAACAACTTTGCCCCAATAAAGTTAGCATACTGAGTTACTAAGGAGACAACTGTCCGTGAAGAGCTTTAGATGAAATATGAGAAGCAACGTATGAAGAAACCTCAAGATAAAGGTAAAATCGAGACAAATATCAATTTTAGTAGAATTTGTTTGTGCATCAAGCTTTAATTTTGACAAATTGTGCACGTGTGAAAATATTACATGGTGTTGTTTTTTTACAATATATAAAAAAATGCTAGTTATGAAATTAGCCTTAGCACGTCAAAATAGTCACTTACTATTGTAATATACTGTACTTTAAAATATAATTTATTTATGTGATGCAAGGCTGAATTTTCATCAGCCATTACTCCAGTATTCAGTGTCACATTACCCTTCAGAAATTATTCTAATATGCTGGTTTGATACTCAGTTATTATCAATGTTGGAAACAGTTGTGCTGCGTAATATTTTTTGTAACATAGATGAATAAAAAGTTAAAAAGAACAGCATTTATTCAAAACTTCTTACCGGTACTGCACATGTCCATGTATATCTCCAGCCATTGTTAAATACATATAATAAACTAGTGTATTATAAATGAGTATAAAACACCTGCAATATGTACCTGCCATGATGTCAAACAGGAAGTGCACATGAGGTGGCCACATGGCTCAATCTTTACATCTTTATCGTTTTCGGCGCAGATCTTACACAGCTGAAACGTAGAGCCCATTTCACAGTACAACTCATACTGTTCCTGAAAAGACCGAAAAAAGGGAGGAGAAAAAAGATGACGAAGATGAAAAACAAAATCTGATATAAAGTCAACTCGTATGTGCATCCGTTACTAACCTGTGTGACCTTAATGTGGTCGTGTGGGGTGGGTTCACACAAGCCGGTGAGATCTGGGTTATAACTGCGCCCATCTGGAAACAAATAACTACAGATGGAGAGAAAGACAGCAAAAAGAGTATGAGGTTAAGAGACTTGTCCTCATGTGCAACTGGCTCTGTGGCATCTCCATTAGCAGTGCTGTGAAACTGGGCCACCTCCACAGTCCATCCAATCACAGCCAATGTCTGAATCGCTGCACTTACAGCAGGGATCAAACCTCTCGGCTGGGGCAATCAGATGAGAGAGAGAGAGAGAGAGAGAGAGAGAGAGAGAGAGAGAGAGAGAGAGAGAGAGAGAGAGAGAGAGAGAGAGAGAGAGAGAGAGAGAGAGAGAGAGAGAGAGAGAGAGAGAGAGAGAGAGAGACATGTCCAGACAAAATCTGCAGACTTTTTTTATGCATTATCCGAGCTGATTGTGAGGAAAGAATTCAGCAGAATGGATTTTAACATGGTAAAATATCTTACATGAAACTGATAGCAGTTATTAAAGACTAAAAGGATAATCAAATAATAAAAAAGAAAAATAATTTAATGATGGGAGTTCAAATTCTTTAGAAATCAGTTTCTTGTGTATGCCTGGTGATAGAAAAATGTCTATTAACATAATCAATGTGTTCCTTTTGTGTGAAGTTCTTTTACCAGAAAGTAGCATTATGCAAGCATATCAGATACATTATCTGAACTTAATGGGGAAGCATGGTACAGCTCAGATGGTGTGAGATTGGCATGTGGCACTAGGCCGGGCAGACAGAGCCACAAGCCAGTGTGATGTGGTTAAGAGACAGTTGACACAGCAACAGTGACAGATACATGCAGCTAAAACCTGTAAAAGACACCTCAAACAGACATGCCAGTAAGACACCTGCCAACGAAGAGAAAGAGGGGAGTGTGTGTGTGTGTGTGTGTGTGTGTGTTTACAAGACATATTGCCAGTTTTCCAGAACATATTGAGCTGATGGGATGTTTCACAGAAGAACTACGGGAGTTGATTCCAATAAAATGGGACAAAACGAGCAAATATGAACACAGGGGCGCCAGAACCCCACTCAATCAAACTTAAGTCAGTTAATATTAAAATATGTACCACTGCTGGCTCAGATGCAGGCAATAATTACATGTATTTACATAGCTGAAATATGAAAAAGCCAATCAGTGCTCCACTGGCTATTTTAACTTTAACTTAATTTAATATTTGATTTAAGATATTATTTTTATACATACATACATATGTATGTACTATATATATACACTCACCGGCCACTTTATTAGGTACACCTGTCCAACTGCTCGTTAACACTTAATTTCTAAGCAGCCAATCACATGGCGGCAACTCAGTGCATTTAGGCATGTAGACATGGTCAAGACAATCTCCTGCAGTTCAAACCGAGCATCAGTATGGGGAAGAAAGGTGATTTGAGTGACTTTGAACGTGGCATGATTGTTGGTGCCAGAAGGGCTGGTCTGAGTATTTCAGAAACTGCTAATCTACTGGGATTTTCACGCACAACCATCTCTAGGGTTTACAGAGGTCCGAAAAAGAAAAAAACATCCAGTGAGCGGCAGTTCTGTGGGCGGAAATGCCTTGTTGATGCCAGAGGTCAGAGGAGAATGGCCAGACTGGTTCGAGCTGATAGAAGGGCAACAGTGACTGAAATAACCACTCGTTACAACCGAGGTATGCAGCAAAGCATTTGTGAAGCCACAACACGCACAACCTTGAGGCGGATGGGCTACAACAGCAGAAGACTCCACCGGGTACCACTCATCTCCACTACAAATAGGAAAAAGAGGCTACAATTTACACTTTAGGCCCCTTAGTGCCAATTGGGCATCGTTTAAATGCCACGGCCTACCTGAGCATTGTTTCTGACCATGTCCATCCCTTTATGGCCACCATGTACCCATCCTCTGATGGCTACTTCCACCATGTCACAAAGCTCTAATCATTTCAAATTGGTTTCTTGAACATGACAATGAGTTCACTGTACTAAAATGGCCTCCACAGTCACCAGATCTCAACCCAATAGAGCATCTTTGGGATGTGGTGGAACGGGAGATTCGCATCATGGATGTGCAGCCGACAAATCTGCGGCAACTGTGTGATGCCATCATGTCAATATGGACCAAACTCCCTGAGGAATGCTTCCAGCACCTTGTTGAATCTATGCCACGAAGAATTGAGGCAGTTCTGAAGGCAAAAGGGGGTCCAACCCGTTACTAGCATGGGGTACCTAATAAAGTGGCCGGTGAGTGTATATATATATATATATATATATATATATATATATACACACACACACACAGTATACACATTTTTTTTTTTTTTAAGACAATTCAGTGTAAAAAGTAAAGTAAACCTTAAAAACTGATGGTTTATTGATTTATTGCACTTTTTGACCAATTTAAGTTTAATTACTGAAAAAAGGGAATTTAGTTGAAATTACTGTAAAAGAGTGACAAGTTATAAAGAATGGAAACATACACTATATATCTTAATATAGTTTACATTTTGTGATGATAAAAACAATCAAGCAGTTTAAATATGCCACATACTGTAGTATTTATCGCCCTATTTGAGTATACTTTATGTATGTGGATGTCTTTGGACATACTTATTTATCCAACTTTATATAAAGAGCTGGGTGATAATATATTTACCTTTTGTGACAGAATATGTTGCTTTACACTAGTACACTGTTTGTATGCAGATAAAGTTGGATATATTAAAAGGTAAGAAAAATATCTGATCAAACATAAAACTAGAATGATATTGTATGTCAATGCCAAATCAGTGTGGAAGATCAGAAAATTCAGCAAGAGCAAATTAATATTCATGAGCTCAGACTAATTCATATACTGACATTATAACCCACCCGTCTTCAGTCCCACTGTCTAGATATTATTTCAAAGAAATATCAGTCTCTAAAAAAAGTGAGATGTGAACTCAAAATCAACTGAAAGAGAACAAGAGTAAAGCAAGTGATTGGGTTAAGATAGTGGGCATTTAGTACAGCTGAATGGTTTAGATGAATAGTTTAAGGATAGAGAGGGGGGAGGGGGGGGGGGGGGGGACACATGAGCACCATGGCTCAACATGCAACATGCACCAAGCACTAGGCCAAAGCTTTGACGTTTACTTAGTAGTTTAAGCTGTCTGAGATACTCACAAGCCTTCTCTGCATCCATCGATGAGCGCCTGAAACAGTGGCTTGTTATGTGGGATGGTCTGCAGTATGTTGCCGTCGCTGGTGACGTAGCCAATGGCCCACTGGCCTAACCGCGTACAACTCAGTCTGAAGATGTAGCTGGGGACAGTGTGAGAGAGAGCATTAAAAACTGCAAAGCACAAATGTTTGTGGCATGCTTCTGTCATGATGGACAATGGGTCATAAACACATAATGGCTAGCATAGTTCATGTTTGTTGGTTGGATTCCTGGTGACGTTCTTTTAGCCGCTGGAGGTTGTTGGCATGGTCATGAGCCTTTCCTCTGCTTGGGTTGTTTACGTTAAAGAAATGATTTATTTTGGGTAGAAACGGACAACAAGACCAGTTCATAACAGTTTTGATATCATAACAGCAATTATGAAATAATCGAAGGCTTTGACAACACAGTAGAGAAAAGCTGAACCATATGGATAAGGTTTACTTTTGCATGCCCCTTTACTGAGAAATGTGAGAGGAAATTTTTTCTCCATTTTTGGAGTTATTCAAATACGTCTTTTGGTTATGCAACTGCTGAACAACAAATTCAGCCAGGATTAAGAGACTAGCTGGTACCAGACTGAACCTTTCCATTCAATATCCCACAGCGTCAGGGTGTCACAGGCTGGCACTGAGGCTGGAAAAAAGAAAAACACTTTGGCTGACGGAGGAATGGATGGAGAACAGGTTGACATTTCTCAGCAGGAGGTGGAAAGTTTATACAAAGTGTCTTTAAATAAAGGTGCACAGAATTCGATTTGCAACGGTATATGTTAATTCTTGAATGTGATGTCACAAAATTAACATCTATGCGAATAAAATGGACCAGACAAAGGTTAGAAAGGCCAAAATAAGAACATTTCATATGGTAAATGCAACACTGATGTTTTGCCATGTTTGAGCCACTATTTTGAGACATAAGACCACACACACACACTGACTCGTCACACGAAAAGGTCATGGCCTGATGTAAGAGATCGTTGCAAGATTTCTGAATTACATTAGAGTTATTTCTAATGCAGCTGCTAGGGATGAATGGAGCTCTCTGTGTTAAATCTGATTAATCCGTAAATGCTCCACTGTACTACTTTCACACTGGACACGGCTCTTTTCACGCACGGGGGAAACATTGTATAGGTCTCTACACTCTTGTTAACATTCTTTATACTACCAACTCAACTCTCTGTCTCTCTTGTTTAATATGAGACTTGCTACAGTCATTTTTTTTACTGAAAATGCCTTTCCATATTCATAATTTACTATCAGCATCATTTATTATTTGCCTTTTAATACTTTTTATGTAGAGAATAAGCAAAACTCCAACACTGAAACTGAAAAAAAAATGGCATCAAAGGGGCTGTTTACACCTGCCCACTTTGATAGACTATATAACACGCTCTCACATGTTTATTTTTTAGCATTTTTGGGAGAAGTAAAATTTACACATGTGGTTTCAAAAACCAGATGCATTTACACTTGTCCAGTTTCACCTGGAATGCGGCCCAGACCTCCTCCTGAAGTGGTTTAAGCGATCGGATTCAAATCCGTCTCGAATGCGTTTCGGAGGGCATTTACACCTGGTCTTTTTACGATCGGATAGCTATCTGATCACAGAAAACGCATGAAGTGGCCAGGTGTAAACAGCCCCAAAGTGTTTTCTTTCTTTTTTTTTAAATTGAATTTGACTGATTTTATGTACATTTTTATTCTGAAAACCGAAGGGAAAAAAAAGGGTTAGTTCACCCAAAAATATAAATTTGACGTCAGAACGTCGTCTCATTATTGGCTAGCTCCTGGGTCATCACACACATGACCAGCGTCGGCCAATAGTGAGCCGATGATTCTGACGTAGAATCCAGAAGCGCTGCACTGTTTACACTACGTTAACTGAGTAGGAGAATGACGTGGAAGAGAAGAGTTTGTTGAATAATGTCGTTATTTTAGGGGGGTTTTTTGCGCACAAAAAGTATTCTTGTCGCTTCACAATATTAAGGTTGAACCACTGTAGTTACATGGACTATTTTAACGATGTTTTTACTACCTTTCTAGGCCTTGAAAGTTGCAATGACGTTGCTGTCAATGGAGGGACAGAAAGCTCTCAGATTTCATCAAAAATATCTTCACTTGTGTTCCAAAGATGAAAGAAGGTCTTACGGGCTTGGAACGACATGAGTGTGAGTAATTAATGACAGAATTTAAATTTTTGGGTGAACTATCCCTTTAAGCTTTGAGGTTGGAAAAATTCATAAAAATGACCGTTTAAGTATCATGTAAGTGGTCCATATAACAAACTGGATCAAGCAATTATTTTAATAAAAAATATTAAAAAGAACTGAGTGAAAACATTTTGTTCATAAACAAATAATTCAGACTGGTTCTGTAAACTGGATCAAACAAAGAACCATTTCAAAAGAATGATTTGTTCATGAATCATACATTAATCACACAAAGTTAAGTTCAGAAGACCACTTTAAAAAAAAAAGGGTCTTTTATTTGTCATTTTGGCTCAGTTATCATTTACTTTCATGTGACAAGGGTTTTCTTCAAAAATGGACTTCCAGCCATTAGTGTTTGTTTCTTGAGGTTATTTAACTCCCTTCGACTGGTTATTCTGCACTGTGGCACTGGCCAGACACAGGTCCTGGTAGGCCGAGATCACAGACTCAATGAGAATGACCAGAGGAAGAACTGGGAAATAATTGTCAGAGGAATCAAGCAAAGTCCCCAATACCCTCAGAGTCATCACACATAGATCATAAAAAGCTCTGAGCTGCTGTGACTACTGAGGCAGAGAGTGTGTGTTGAACTAATGAACCATGCCTTTCGTGTCACACTGCCCTGATAAAAATATGACATCCAGCGTGTCAAAAGCTTGATTTTGCCAGGTGACAGTTACGGGTAGAAACTCAGCGTGAAACACATATAGTCCCCTTGGGTGCCGCCAAGACCTTCTCTAACCGCACACACACAGCTGCTGCTCCTCTTCAGTAGATTGGTATTTGCATACAGTTCAGCTCGACCACCCACCGTCCTCGACTTCCGTCTGTTTGTTTAGCCACATCTCTCCAACCCACATCAGCCATTTAAAAAGGCCCATCTTCCTGGTGAAATTCAAACAGGGGGAGTCCTTTCCCATAAAGTTTCTTATTTTATGGCCTCGCTATTATCTTGCTGTTGCGTTAAATGACTCTAACCAGTGTGTAATCGTGCCTGCCGTCTGGCTCTGGACCTCAGAGTTGTTTCAGCACTGATGCAATGCTGTTTCTCTAATCAGCTAATCCAAACAGACTGGATTTAACTACCGCCATCTCCCTGTGGCACAGTCCGCCACACTTGGTATGGTACAATCTGGGTTACCAATGCAAAGGTCATGAGTGTATTTCCAGATTATATTGATCCCAGATCCAAGAGAGCATAAGCACAGACAAAGAGACTCCTGTAATAAGCTAACATCTCCGCCTCGCCCACTTTCCCATGCAAGCAGGGTCGTCTGCCAGACTGGAGAAAAACAGCTGGCTGGCCCAGCGCACCACGCAGCAGATGGTATGTCTATTACAGCCATCCAGTTACACACACACACACGCAGACTAGTCTGTACCTGCCAGGTTTGTTGATGTACTTCTGCAGACGGGCCTTCACTTCATCATACGTCAGGAAGGCCATGTAGCCTGGGTGCGTGACTGCCAGGAAGTTCCAGTTCCTCAGGATTGAGCCCCATGGCTACAGGGAAGAGAAAAGTATTAGAGATAGAGGTAGTGGGTTTAGGAAGTCCATAATACGTGATACTTCAAATAGCTCAGAAAACAGAAGTCAGACTGGAATGCGCCAGCATTCATTTTATTTTTACCATCACTGACCTCCCAGACAGTTAAATCAAGATGGCTTTAACACACCAACTAAACTAGGTTATTTTCCCTTGTAGCTGGACATACAACAACTTCAAAAAGTGTTTGAACGGTCACGGTTAAAAATGTATGACTGTTCTATCTAATCAGTCAATAAGATTTGTATCTAAATCTAACTTAGTGGCATTTATTTGAATAGAAACTCGGCACAAACACAAACTAAACATTTAACAAAAAGTGTTTTAAATATGCTGTCCAAAATGCCGACTAAAGCAGTTTTTTTTTTTAAGTATGAATGTTACATAAAATTAAAACAAAGGAGGGGATCAAACCATGTGCTAATCAGTTTAAAGAAAGAGCGCAAACACAATTTTTAAACTAAATATTTAACAAAAATAAGTGTGCTAAATGATAAACTACAATATATGCTGTTTATAATGAAAAAAATAATAATATCTGGAAGTAAAATTAACACTATCTGGAAGTAAAAGGTCCTTTATAGTTCATGCATAATGGTAATGGGAAAGTGAATTGATCCATTAAAAATCTAAAGAAAAGTGAAGTTAGTTCTGAGAAAAGATCTACGATCATTTGTTTGCAGATGCTGTTTAGTTTGAATTGTATTATCAAATTCAGGGGTTTTTAATGCAAAGGACTCCCAAATATGATGATCCCCTGCTTTTTTTTCATGTATAGACCTGTTAATACTGTGTGAGAATTGTATAATTTAATGACAATTTTCTTACATTAAAAATAGCTTTTATATTCTCACTGTACAAAAGGTATTTATAAAGCATTATCTAGAAATATTTACTTTTTTTACTTACTTTTTCCCAAATCACAGGTAATTTTAGATGTATGAATTTTACATAAACCGGAAGATTGTCGATTTAATTCAGATTTATTTGTAAAGTAGTGTTCCAAAGCAGCATATTTTGATATGTGATTGTGTTAAACATATTAAATATATTTAAATATAAATATTGATTTATTGGTATTTATACACATTAATATATTAAAATGGTCACTTTGACAGCCCTAAAGACATATTTTATTCCACATTTTCTCTAGATCTCCTAGTATCCCTTTATGGCCCCTGGTCTGCAGTTTCATAACCCCTGATCTATAATGCAATAAAATGATTATTTTTTACTGGCCACAACACTTTTTTTGTTTTTGCATGATATTTAAAATGAATATAATGTATAGAATTTAATACATATAAAAAAATCTATCTTTGAAATGTAATACATTTTCAATTAAATGTATAGGAATTATTCATATTTTAAAAAATAATTAGAAAAAAAACTAGCCAGTAATATTGGCAACACATAAATGTACATATACAGTGTGTGTATATATATTATTAGCAAAAAATATTGCAGGTTATTGTCACTCACAATATCATATACAACTTGAGTCGGTTTCCACTTCTCACAAACAGGTGAGAAACATTGTAAGCGTTTTGAAACTCATATTCTCATTTTGCTGGCTTAATGTGAGGAATCTTTCATTTATGTCACCGCATGGAGGCTTCGGGAGGAGGGAAATACTGATAGGTTTTCCACTGAGGCAATAGATGTTAAAATATGTGTAGTCATTACAGATGTTTTCTTTCCTAGACAGTTATGGATGTCTTTCATTTGAATCACGTGTATCATTTTCATCAGCGAGGTTTTAAACCACTATTCTTAAATGATGTAAATAATAGTATATTACAGTAGCTAATAATAAAGGTACCAGCCAGCTGGCAAAAACCTTGTCTTTGGCTTTGAAAGAAGTGCAATATTGAGCATGCCAACTCAATATTTTAATGTCAAGCTACATTCATAGTCTTTTCTTCTCATCCTTGAAATCACATTCTTTGTTTTTGTGTATCATGTCAGGTATGAACCAGGAAAGAGGCCTTGTCACACTGAATGTGCAGTACTACACACTTCAATCATCTAATTCCAGGCATCTGATTGGACGACGACGTCTCCTTCAGGCTGCTCGTGTGCGTCATGCATCGCAGAATGTTTCCAGAATATTTCCTACTCTAAGCGAACAGTTTCCTAAAAAAGAAAGAAAGAAAAGAAAATCCCCCACCACGATCCAAGAGAGTAAAAGAGAAACCCCTTGTGTTGTAAATTTAGTCTGCACTGAGGACTGCATTTACTTTTGATCGATTCTGACTTTTTTCTTTTTGTGTTCCCAGTGAATGTTCTCGTTTCATGCGCATTGCTGATGTGGTGGGCACAGCTGTTTTGCTCCCCCTGTAGTAAAAAAAAGAAATTGTAAATTCACTGTACACTTTTTAGGTCTGTGTAAATAAGTCAGGGGGGGTACGTTCACTCTGCTTAGCGTTTGGATTATTGAAAAAAAAAAAAAAAAAAAAAAAAGGATTGTGGGACTACATATTGATATTGCACAGTCCCTCATCAAAAACTCCTAAGATCGCGGTCGGATGCTGGAAGAATGATGACTTCACTGCTGTTACACCTCTGTTTGCTCATGTTTTATTTATTGGTACCTCTTTACGACACTGCCCTGTGACATTCATGTTATTTCGTCTAGTTTGAAGTGGCTAAGTAGTGAAAACGGGTTTAGAAAATTAGCGTAGTGTAGGGAAATGTCCTGCTACACCCAGTGGCCTTCAGGTTGCATTGCATGATGTCATAGTTGTAGGGCTGTGAACAAAGCCCGCTAGAGTTTAACGTAGTGACATTGACGTGACTCGCATATAGCATAAATAAACAAGCAAACATCCGCTCTCGGTATCAGACTGGGTGGTGGCGACCTTGCATGCAGAGCCTTTATTTTTTTGGTAGAAAGTAAATATAAAAGAATAGCCCCTTTATTCTGCCTTAACAGAAAGAGTCAGTATTGGAAGGCAAACTTCAGTCAGTTTATAAATGTGAAGCCTCACTGTATAGCCTTTCAGTTTTGCACTTCCCTCAGACTACAAAAACTGCATCTTTTTAGTTTTTTACCTCGTTTTCTGTCTCTACGATGTTTGTCAGGTTGATGTCCGACACTGTAGTCTTTAGCGATGGGTTGAAGCATTGTTCCGTTCATCGTGGTCTAAAGAGGCTGTAAATATGTTTGAATGTCTTGCTTGTGTTTGGCTATTTATAAAGTGTGAGAAATGCAAGGTTAGCTGTGCTTCTGCTTAGTCACTAAAAAGACCCTTCTTATTTAAACTATACTCTCACTTTGTCACGCATATTTAGAAGAAACTCAGCTTTCACTTTTTGTTTCATCTCCACATGCGTGTTCTGAGCGTTCATGTTTAGCGTAAACGTCTCGCATATTTTGAACCATCAGGTCAGCAGTGAAACCAAAGAGGGTAACCGCATAAGAAGGCCATAAAGTATTGTAAATACTGACTTTTGTTTTTGTACTTTTGTTGACAATAAAAGTGTACATTTTGAAGAAAATTTCTGGATTTTTTTCTTTTTCATGCGCAATGATTTAAAAAAGAAATCACATATAGCAGATGTTAATACTGGCTTTTATAAAACATTTTTTCCCACAAGAACAGATCACGGGTTACATACATCACTGAAAGATGAAAATAATCTCAGAAAACTTTTAACAAAGTATAAATTAATTGCACACATCACTGGTTTTAAATGATACACAAGGCATTTTCCAACAAACTAAAATCTCTCGTAAAAAGAAGAGGGGAAATGAACAGAAACCGTTCCCCCCGCAGACCTGTCGGAGGTCATGTCCTCTACCGCTAGAGGGTCCACTCAGTTCTCAGACTTTCAAGTGTAAGATGGAGATAGAGACAAGTGCAAAAATGAAGTTTCAAGTTCAAGCGAAAACCTGATAGGGAGGAATGACAGCCAGTGGGGATGAGTCAAAGCAGGCCAGCTTCCATTCCCAGAATTCCCAAAAGGCCTTGAATGAAGTCGTCGCTGGAGTGTCGCTTTAAATCTTCAGTTTGCGGGCATCACTATTACCTCAAATTGAATTTGACGCCATTAAAATGACTCGTACATGATAATCTGTGTGTTTTCTGGGTGCTAATACAAACGGTGCATGTCCAGTTCTTGTTTTTTTTGCATATGGCGTCAGTGCAAGTGAGCAAGGTGGCTTCCTCCGGCACTGCACTGAATCTAAAACAAGGGACCGATGCAGACATTCGGGTTTGTTTTATTCACGAGTTGACAGGCTCTTCTCTTTACAGAAAATGAAACAACCATATTAGCCCTTGCTTGCTAACGCTGGAATGCACTCAGATGTCGAAAGCGACCGTTAAGAGTTGGTAAAAAGCAGCTAACCTAAAAAAACTGACAAAGAGAACCGTGAACCTGATATTCGAAATCCGTCTCTTTCTGCCTCAAACGATCTGATCTGGTTTGTCTTGTTCACTGCGAAATGATGAGATAAAGGAGACATGGTCACACCGAGAGCCATTACTGTGAAATTCATGATACCCAAGAGGCCAGGAACGCGCGTGTATATGTGTGTGTTTCCGTCCAGAGAAATACAAACGTCACTGATTTGAAGGATGCAGCAAACCCACCCTGAAATGTGGATGGACACCTCCAAATATGAAAAATTCGATTTCAATTCCACTCTTGAACATCCCGAGCTGTAATGACGATGACCTGAGTACTGCAGATAAGCCACGTCACTGTAAACACAAGGCTTTTTTTTTCATAGGATCCTGTCGTTACAAACGCAACAATCCTTTTGGCGAAAAAAGCACATTTTCGTCTTGTTTGCCGGGTGCGCTAAACGAAAGCAAGCGGAAGACAGCCTGCGGTTTGTACACTCAAAAGTCAGTCGTAGTTTGAAATTTTATCAGCGTGGGTTACGGGCCCTGCCTGGGGGCGACTAGCGCAAACTCCCGCAAAATGTTCCGTGCCACGTCCACTTTGTTCTGCGCGATCATCAGCGCTCGTTTCACATCTTCGAATGAGTAGCCCTCGCCCATCAGCTTGGCGATCTTGGCGTCTACATTCTCCCGGGACGATTCGTGCGGTCTTCTGTGGATGTCTGGCGGGAAGATCCTGGGAAGTGGTTTAGGAGGTCTCTCAGGTGCCCTGAAGCAATCTACGGCCACTGTAAACAGGAAACAAAGAGTGTTTAGTCAAAATGGGCCATTGAGAGTGGATGGTAGCAGGCCGACTAAAAAGACTAGGAACGCATTAAAAACCCATTACAGGCTAATAATTAATAATTCATTGAGCACATTCATCTCGATGGCTAATGGCTTCATTTAATAAACCTGCAAAGCTATTATGTATTCAAAACAACAGACAGTGCTCACAGCTGTTTTATCAAGAATTACAGGTATGTTTTTGGATCATTCTGGAAGTGTTAGCAATGTTGTTTCATTTTTTTTCCAGCTCATAATATTAAACTACAGGGTATGAAAGGTTGAGCCTTATTGTGAATATAACAACAATACATCATAAAATCAGTGTATTTTTATTTGTTTTTCAAATAAGTCTCATATGCTCACCAAGGTTGCATTTATTTGACCAAGAATACAGTAAAAACAGTAATGTTGATGTGAAATATAACAATTTAAAAGAACAAATTTCTGTGTCTGTATTTTGTTTGAATAAGTTTTAAAATGTAATTTATGCATTTATTTGTATTTTTTATGCATTTTATTTTTATATAATTGATGTATTTATTTGCCTGTAATGGCAAAGCTGGTTTGTTTATATGTGATATACCATGATAGTTTTTTTTTTTTTTTTTAAGAATTCTTTGATGAATACAGTTTTTAAAAAAACATTTATTTAAAATAGAAAGTTTTGTAATATTATAAATGTCTTTATTGTCACTTTTGGTCAATTTAATGCATCCTTGCTAAATAAAAAATATCTTTAAAAATTGACCAAAACTTTTGAACAGTAGCATACAGTATTAATATAAATAAAAAAATATTAAGGACACAAACTGTCACTGAAATGTCATTCAAACCTGTATGATTTCCTTTCTTCTGCTGAACACAAAGGAAGATATTTTGAAGAATGTCAGTAAACAGACAGTTGATGGACTCCATTGACTTCCATAATAGGAAAACAAATACTATGGAAGTCAATGGGGTACATCAACTGTTCAGCAGAAGAAAGAAATTCATACAGGTTTGGAACGACTTAGGGGTGAGTAAATGATGACAGCATTTTCATTTTGAAGTGAACTATTCCTTTAAACTCTGTATTGACCAATCAGCATCCCAGACCAAAACTATTTGATTTATAACAGCCCTTATACAATGAGTAGTACCTGAGGTGGGCGGCAGTTGATCGTAGTCTTGAGGAGCCCTGAACGGCTTCTTCATGTTGTCTCCGGTTAGTCTCCGCACGGGGGGATTAGGAGCCGAGTTAATCAATGTGTCTATGAACGTGTCTGTGAATCACACTGATAATTAGACACCAATACAACCCCAAATACAGCAGTATTTGACATTTATACTACATTAATAGTCACAGATGTGTGGGATTTGGCCTCACCTGGGCTGAGCAGAAAGTGGTCGTGTCCAGACGAGGGGCGGGCAGGTCTGGGGTAGGGTGAGGAGGACGAGGGTTCTGTGAAACTGTTTCTGATGGGGGGAGGAGGAGGAGGCTGGGACGGAGGAAGAGAGTTGAACGGGTCTTCCATTGGAGACGCTGGGAGAACCGAGAGAAAGAGAGAGTGGTCGAGTCTTTCTACATGCCTCAGCAGTTCCTCTTCTCACCAACAGATGGAGCTAAAATATCATTCAGCCACGAATTGAACGCGTTCTGAATTTTTGTTGTTCGTTTTGAAAAAATACAGCAAGGATGCATTAAATGAAATAAGTTTATTTAGTAAATATGTTTACACTGATGCAAAAGATTTCTACATTAAATAAATGTTGTTTTTTTAACTTTCTATTTATCAAAGAATTCTGAAAAAAAATGGTTTCTTGAGCAGCAAATCAGCATATTAGAAGGATTTCTGAAGACTGGAGTAATAATGCTGAAAATTCAGCTTTGCTAACATAGGAATAAATTACATTTTAAAATATATTAAAAAAGAAAAAGTATATTTTAAATTGTAGTAATTTCACAACACTGTATTTTTGATCAAATAATTGTAGACATGGATAATTACCAACCCCTTACCTTACTTGAAACAGAAATAGAGTTTATATTTTTGAGAAACAAGTCTTTATTTTGGGAAACTGCATTATGGTTTTAATTATATGGCCAAAAGAATGGATTTTAGTTACCAAGCAATTGTATTCCCGTAAGTTTATGACAGTAGTACTGTATGACTATGAATTAAACAAAGGCAAATTGATGTCTTCGTGAATCTGTCTATATAAAAACAAACAAGCTAAAATCATAATAAAATTATATTAACATCAAAAATTTATGGAAGTGAAGGTGAATGAATGTAAAAAGAAGTATCTGAATAGAAGCACCACACAAACACACCTTAACTACATCAAACAGCTCATATAATATAAGCTAATAATCAGATTTAGTGACTCAATAATGAATAAGGACTGCATTGGTGTTCGCAGCTCTAACCTAGTGCAATAGTAAAAGAAGAAACCAACAAATGAACACCACTGAACATTCTGCTAATCAGGCAACCAATCAGATTGAGGCGCTGTGCCAACGGCTACCTTGAGGGGGCAGTAGAATGTCGTAGTCTGAGGGCGTCCTGTTGTGGAGGGGGCACTGTGTGGTGTGAGCCACACCCGAAATCAATGAACCAGAGTCAAACCCACCTGAGGAACACAACAGAGTTATACTGACCTAAAAATGGCCTCAACCTCTTAGTGAGTTAGCCATGTCAGCCACAACTGACTTCAACAACCACTGGCCACCACATTGAAAAATGTATACTTTAGTCCCCGTTGCTACCAAACACACACAAACTCCAACAATCACACTAAAAGATGTTCAAGCTGAAAATGAAGATGACAAATGAGAGACACTATGTGTGTATTTTCTGTATATGTGTGTGCTCTCTCACCATGCTCTGGAGGTTTATGTTTCTTTAATTCTGTGGAGAGATCCGACAAGCCGTTTTCTAAAGTCCTTTATGAAAAGAAAACACATTAAAATGCAGACGGGACGTCAATAAAACAGTCATTGTTTCACTATCGTGTGTGTGTTTACCTGTTGGGGATGCGGAAGGGGATGCAGACGGGTGGCTGTGTGATACAGACGGGATGCGAGGATGGAATCTGATACTCGTCCTCCACTCTCTCCGTCAGACTCCGGTGGCTTGTGAAGGGCTTGGTGTGTCTGTAGATCACACAAAACTTATTACACAACATGTACAGGCACAACCACGCACTCCCACGGTGCTTCAGGCACACAGATAAGGTTCAATGACCACAGCAACAGCATTCAGCCCAACATTTTTGTTTTTCACACGTGATTTTTACGTGTTCGCCTAATGCATTGCAAAAGTAGTTGCCACAATGTTAGGGAAGTTGTGAGTGGCTTGGGCATTCAAAATGGTTGATATGGTGCTCCAGATGATTGCTAGGTGTAAAAAGATCCCACACTCTTTAACGTATTAAAAATACTCCGAACACTTAAGCCACATCATAGCAATGTACTGAGCAGATTTGAGCATGTTGCTTTGTGGTTGCTAGAGTGTTTTTAGACTATGATATTTTGGTCTTTATATAGGACTAATTCCCTCCTTCAATGCAAGTTTGTGGGAGCAGACCTTCACTCAAACTGCATGATTTGAGACATGATTCATGTATGTACCATGGAAAGTTTGATACAAAGCCGAACAACTCCCTAACTCCAAATATGAACTATTGCATTAACAAATATGCACAAAAAAAAAACCCATCTCATGTGCTCCCAAATTACAGCAAATTGTGGAATAACAATACGTAAATATTTACATAGATGACAGCATTATAAGTGATGCCACGGCACTCGTGGAAAAAGGCTCTTTGACGGGAGATTTGGACGATGTTCTCCGCCTTCATGCTGACTCATTAAAACAAGCACTCTTCAGTGTGTGAGCTGGTCGCTGCGAGATTAGCCAGTTTAATCACGTAATGCTCTAACTAAGACTCCAAGGCTGAGCTGAAGTAGGCAAAGACGTCCAATATTTAAACAGGCTGGCACCACTGAGGGGGGGAGAGAGGTTAACTAGCTCTTGCTGGGATACGTTGGGCGGTTTTCCAGGCAAACTTTAACTGCCACCGCAATGCACCATTAGAGGGCGCTTTAGGCACTTCATCTCCCTGTGATGATGAAGCGATTCATTGAAAGATCTTTTTCAAGTGTTTCGAAATGTTCCTTGTTTCCAAGACATCAAGAGAGTGTTTATGGATGTACATTTGCCAAGTGTTTAATAGAAGCCAACCATAGCAGTGTAAAAACACCTATGAGAGTGAGAGGGAGATGACAGGTTCACAAGTTTTGCTCTCTTTGAGGAGGTGGAAAGTGCTCTCAACCGTTCCAAGTCAGTGGTGTGTTTGTGTTTCTGTAGAGTAAACGTATGTTGATGTGTGTGATGCTCATCACAAAGAATCCAGTGTGCCCGGAGCCAGCAGAGAATATATATATATATATATATATATATATATATATATATATATATATATATATATATATACACTCACCGGCCACTTTATTAGGTACACCTGTCCAACTGCTCGTTAACACTTAATTTCTAAGCAGCCAATCACATGGCGGCAACTCAGTGCATTTAGGCATGTAGACATGGTCAAGACAATCTCCTGCAGTTCAAACCGAGCATCAGTATGGGGAAGAAAGGTGATTTGAGTGACTTTGAACGTGGCATGATTGTTGGTGCCAGAAGGGCTGGTCTGAGTATTTCAGAAACTGCTAATCTACTGGGATTTTCACGCACAACCATCTCTAGGGTTTACAGAGAATGGTCCGAAAAAGAAAAAACATCCAGTGAGCGGCAGTTCTGTGGGCGGAAATGCCTTGTTGATGCCAGAGGTCAGAGGAGAATGGCCAGACTGGTTCGAGCTGATAGAAGGGCAACAGTGACTGAAATAACCACTCGTTACAACCGAGGTATGCAGCAAAGCATTTGTGAAGCCACAACACGCACAACCTTGAGGCGGATGGGCTACAACAGCAGAAGACTCCACCGGGTACCACTCATCTCCACTACAAATAGGAAAAAGAGGCTACAATTTGCAAGAGCTCACCAAAATTGAACAGTTGAAGACTGGAAAAATGTTGCCTGGTCTGATGAGTCTCGATTTCTGTTGAGACATTCAGATGTTAGAGTCAGAATTTGGCGTAAACAGAATGAGAACATGGAACCATCATGCCTTGTTACCACTGTGCAGGCTGGTGGTGGTGGTGTAATGGTGTGGGGGATGTTTTCCTGGCACACTTTAGGCCCCTTAGTGCCAATTGGGCATCGTTTAAATGCCACGGCCTACCTGAGCATTGTTTCTGACCATGTCCATCCCTTTATGGCCACCATGTACCCATCCTCTGATGGCTACTTCCACCATGTCACAAAGCTCTAATCATTTCAAATTGGTTTCTTGAACATGACAATGAGTTCACTGTACTAAAATGGCCTCCACAGTCACCAGATCTCAACCCAATAGAGCATCCTTGGGATGTGGTGGAACGGGAGATTCGCATCATGGATGTGCAGCCGACAAATCTGCGGCAACTGTGTGATGCCATCATGTCAATATGGACCAAACTCCCTGAGGAATGCTTCCAGCACCTTGTTGAATCTATGCCACGAAGAATTGAGGCAGTTCTGAAGGCAAAAGGGGGTCCAACCCGTTACTAGCATGGGGTACCTAATAAAGTGGCCGGTGAGTGTATATATATATATATATATATATATATATATATATATATATATATTCTCCGCTCCGCTATATATATATATATATGCTGAGAATATATATACACACACACACACACACAATACAGTAATCTTAGCCTCTATAAACACTACTGACGCAGCTGTATGGACAGATACACCACATAGACACACAACACTATTCTTCAGGGCTCTAAACAACAGCCATTGTGGTTTCCAGAACCACTCGGTTTCATTTGTCAAAGCGGTGACAGAAACACAGTTTTTCTTGTAGCAGGAACTGCTGAGAGGAGCAGAACAGTGTTGCATGAATGAAGCCATTAACATTGACAACCAAACCAATGACTAGTGCTAGGGTGCTATGGGTGTTATAGTAGAGTCAGGGCATTTCTATGCAGTGCGTTTTTTTTTAAGAACATTTTATCAACCCTATGGCAAAATTCTGAAACAGCATAGTGTAAAAAGTAGTCTGCTAAGGTGTTCATTGTGTTTCTAGAACACTATCTGTATACGGTAATTGCTGTATACTAACATACTGAAAACCACTCTTTACCAACTTTATAGCAACGTATCAACAATAAGCAGAAAAACTTAGCAATAACAATGTACTGAGTAGTTTTTAGTATGCTGCTATGCATTCAATGTTTTAGAACACTATCTACTGTATAGCAAGCAACATACCACTCCATATCAACATATTGACAGTATTTAGAACACCTAAGTAACAGTTGTTTTTTTTTACTTTTGCATTGAGAAACTGCAAAGCAACATCTAAAATAACACATTAGCAACATGTACTGGAGTTGATAAGGTGTTCTGAGCAGTTTTTAACATGCTTCTATAGGGTTGTATAATTTGTGTTGCTTTCCAGTTTCTAAATGCAAAAGTCAACTTTATCATTAGCCAGGTAAAAATCCAATCTCTTATCACAGCACATCTTTCCTGAACAAGCAGCATAATGTGAGGTATCGTTCATGTCTGTAGTACAAACGGTGCAACTAAGTTCGCCACTATTCTTGACTACCTAATAATAATAATAATAACGACAAAAATTCAACACCCATAGCACAATATAAGGGAAAGAAAGAGCATAAGTGTTTGTGACAGAAGAGGAAATATGGCTTGCTGCTTGGAGTGCTACCTCTCATAGGCTGGTTCTGCTTAATTCCCTCAAAAGCCCCACAGGAAGTCCATCACTGTAATGTGTGTGTGTGTGTGTGTGTGTGTGTGTGTGTGTGTGTGTGTGTGTTAGGGCTGTTGGAACGAATTCCGAAATTCGAATATAATTCGAATATTAAAAAAATCAATACTATTCGAATGCTGAAGTTACTATTCGAATATTGTTTTTTTATGTATATATTTTTTTTAATTTTATACCGTAAAACTTCAAATAATAGCCGAGTCCCAAATAGACGCCGTCTCTTTTACGCCTGGTGTGGCTGCAGGTTTGGGTAAATAAAGGCCGGTCTCAAATAGAGGCCGGGTCTGTTTTTTAGTTTCAGGTTGTATTTAATCCTCTAAAACCCGTGCGATCGTCTGCTTTTTGGCGGTCGCCAACGCAAATGTTTGTCCCGCGAAAGCCTTTTTTGATCGATGTAGACTAGAATGACTGCTGCGCCTGACAGGGCGCATAACGAGCAGAGAGAGAGAGAGCCCCGGCCGCGCGCGCGCACTCTCACGTCTTCAAACACGAGCGCTGTCTTGGCCTCTCTCCCTCGCGCATATTAATCAAAATCAATTGACACAATACTAGTAAAAGGTCGGAAGTTTCACGTGGAGCATTTGGATATTTTTAGAGATTAGAGACTCTAGGCATCAATGAAAAACATCTCAACACTAAATTATAAAGGCCTGTCTCATATAGACGCCTGTCTCAAATACAAGCCGGCGTTCGACGATTTGGGAAAATAAAAGCCCAGGCTACTTGCCTTTCTCGCCACCTTGGCTTACACACATGTGAAAATGAAATGCTTTTGTTTCGTCTGATGAACAATAAAGTTTTTGAATCGTAACACAATTGTGCACGTTATCCACGCTGTATCATCATAACAATACTGTCAAAAATGGTAAATGTTCAACAACGTAAAAAAGCGCCCGTGAAGCGCAAATATCTCGGTGAAAACTCAACGGATTTGGCGAGCACCGAACTCGTTGGAACCGCCTAGTCGAACTGAAAAGAACGATATAAGTTTCAGAATTTTTGGTGGTGTTTTAGCAGAGATATTAGCCGAAAACCATCGGTAGCGCTTCAACCATATTCAGCACGAATAAAATGTTTATTGTAATGTTAGATGTCCCTCTAGTGGACAGAACGTGTAACAACAACCACATGCTATAGTGGCATTGGCGATCCATAAGCCTGAGTAATGTCGTAAATATTAATAATAGGATGAATTTGAGCATTTAATATTCGAATATTATTCGAATATTAAATAAAATAAGGAATGGAATTCGAATAGTATTATAGAGGAAGATTGACAGCCCTAGTGTGTGTGTGTGTGCGTGTGTGTGTGTGTGTGTCTCTTTATGTTTGTTTAAAGAGCACATGCTCTCCGGATCCTGGTGCTCTTGCATAATTGGTGCACATGTGTCCAAACATTGCTGTGTGTGTGTGTGTGTTGTTCTGTCAGACCTCTAGAGATATACAGGATGCAGCCTGTGCACACAATCCCTGGATCACATTAACACATTAATTAAGTCCACATGATCTTTTTGTCTTTTCACCAAAAAACCACTTGCGAGAAAATAATAATTTAGTCATTAAACATCACAAAAGCAGATCAATGAGCAAAGCAGGAAAAGATGCTCTGGATTGGCATCACAATGAGATCAGCAAGTCCACAGAAAAACAGTGCTCAAGAGCGGTAAACAGGTAATTTGTAATCATATGAAGACAATATGAGTGAATTGGGTAGGGTAAACACAGTTGTTTGTTTGGTGAGGCTCCCTTCAGAATAAAGAGAGACCGATTGATCTGCTTTACAGTGATAATGATCTACATGGACACAAAGAACAAGAGCCGCAGCAGGGCTCCAGGGATGGGAGTGGCACATCTGTGTGTGTGTGTGTGTGTGTGTGTCTGTGTGTGTGTCTGTGTGTGTGTCTGTGTGTGTGTCTGTGTGTGTGTGTGTGTGTGTGTGTGTGTGTGTGTGTGTGTGTGTGTGTGTGTGTGTGTGTGTGTGTGTGTGTGTGTGTGTGTGTGTGTGTGTGTGTGTGTGTGTGTGTGTGCGCGTGTCACTCACCTCTGGTTGTGGTCCAAAAGGGGAGGGGAGTGACGCAGAGGAGGGACATCATACTCATCACCAGGTAACAGACCGTTGATGAAAGACTGCAGAGAAACACAAACATGAAATGTTAAAAAAACACCATAAATAAATGATGGATGTAGTGCTCAATAAGAAACCTGACATAAAAGGTACAGATGATATCCAAATGGGACTTAGTTGTTAGATTATTTTTGGATGGATGGATGGATGGATGGATGGATGGCTGGATGGCTGGATGGATGGATGGATGGATGGATGGATGGATGGATGGATGGATGGATGGATGGATGGATGGATGGATGGATGGATGGATGGATGGATGGAACATGAGCCACAGCAGAGATGGAAAAGTACTGATGAATAGCTAGACGAATGGATGGATGGTTAGAAAGATAGATGAAAAGTACTGATGAATAGCTAGATGGATGGATGAATGGATGGATGGATGGATGGATGGATGAAAAGTACTGATGAATAGCTAGAAGAATGGATGGATGGTTATAAAGATAGATGAAAAGTACTGATGAATAGCTAGATGATGGATGGATGGATGGATGGATGGATGGATGAAAAGTACTGATGAATAGCTAGAAGAATGGATGGATGGTTATAAAGATAGATGAAAAGTACT